GAATTTTGATGTTCAATAATATTTGCAAAAATTAACAAATGTTTTTTTTTAACACACCGCCAATCCATTTCACTTTATTTTACATATATACAAACATTGTTCAAGGAAGAACCGCTAATAGCGATGATCTAGGCATCGTCCGAGCCAAAAACTAGTTTTTAATTTAAAATTAGTTATGTAAATTACCGTACATGGCACAACACCTAACTTAGTAACAAAGAAAAAACATTGTTCCAGGAAGAACCGCTAATAGTGTTATTTTCTCAAAAAAAAAAAATGAATAGTGTTAGCAGTTTTTACCATGAACGGTGATTTTTTTTTTTTTTTTTTTGCACTACTGTATTTAAGGTTGAACCACTAACACCATTAGAGGTTCTACTATGAACACTACTGTATTTTTTTTTTTTGTTATTAGTGTTTTCGTTTGACAGAAATGGAATCAACGGACTTGAAAGAGAAGGTGAAAGTGGGCAGAGATTGGAGGGAGAAGATTAAGGTGGGTGGGAACCTGGAAGAAAAAATATGAACAAGACTACAAGAGGAAGAAGATGAACATGAAGAAGAAGGTGGGAGGAAGAAGATGATGAATAGTAGCAAACGGAGAGTTAATGGTGTTAACTTTGAAAATCTGTCCAACTTGTCATAGTGGCCCACTAATATAAATATATATTTTTTAATTAAAAAACACAACTTTCACTGCAATTTTTTTTTTTGAAAGCTTCAATGCAACTTATTTACGAAAAAGCCATTTGATAATTTAAACATACATAGTAATTTGTTTATCTAGTTTATAAGAGCAACTCCAAGGGCAAGCTAATTTGACAATTAGCTTGCCATGCCACATAAGCCTTTAAGCTAATTATCATTTTAGCTACTTTTTGCTCCAATGGCTAGCTATTAGCTTAGTATTTAAGTGAGTCTCACTTCCTTAATTAATATTTGTATAATTCATTTATTCTTTTTTTTTTTTTATGTTGATTATTCTTTTTTAAATGTTGATTTGATCATTCTTATATTATACTACTTATTTTTTAACGTCAATCTATGTTGAGCATTTGGAGTAATCTTTTTAATGTTGATGTTCTTATTTTATAAATACATAGTAACGAAATGTAGAACAAATAGACAATGACTAGTTCATGGTTACAGAATATGGAGAATATACCAACATTTAGGATTAAAAAAAAAAGTTGATCAAAACATAAAATTTCAGGGAGATTAATTAAGGTCTAGGCCTCCAAAACGACTCCAAATATGCTCCACTAGATCTGCCTTTAGTTGATGATGAATATGTCTATCTCGAATGGCTACATCTCTTTCAAGAAATGCTTGAAAATCCAATGCATGCCCTTGATGAACATCTTCGACAGTTGTTGGTGAAAAATCACCTTGATCAAAGTTTTTGGAGTATGTGTGGCGTTCATCTTCAACAATCATGTTATGCAATATAATACATGCATCCATTATGTCGTGGAGTCTACTTTTATGCCAACAAAGTTCCGCTCCACGAACTATTGCAAAGCGAGCTTGAAGTACTCCAAATGCTCGTTCAACGTCTTTTCTTGCACTCTCATGTCTTTGCTTGAATAGAAGCCTTTTAGGGTCTTGAGGTTGTGTAAAGGTCTTGACAAATGCAGCCCACTCTGGATACCATCTGTAAGATAGTACCCCATATCATAATTGGTTTGATTGACAATGAAATGAACCTCTGGAGCTTTTCCTTACAACTTTTCTTGAAACAAATTTGATCTACTCAATATATTGATGTCGTTGTTTGACCTTGCAACTCTGAAATATGCATGCCATATCCATAGATCTACTGAGGCGACTGCTTCAAACATGATTGTTGGGTACCCATGATCACCTCTAGTATATTGCCCTTTCCATGCAGTAGGACAATTTTTCCATGCCCAATGCATACAATCAAGGCTTCCAAGCATACCAGGAAAGCCATGATATTTTTTCGTGCATTTCAAGTAGTCGTTGGACATCATTATAAGTAGGCTTTCTCATGTACACATCTCCAAACATCTATAATAGCACGAAAAAATTTAAATAAATTCTCTAAGGCAGTGCTCTCACCTATTTTAATGTATTCGTCAACAGCATCGGACTGCCATATGCCAAGATGCGAATAGCAGCGGTGCATTTTTGAGAGGGAGACAACCCCAGTCTTTTTGCAGCGTCAACCCTTTGTTGGAAATATTCAGAATTCTTTCCAAGTTCCTCCACAATATGGATGAATAATTCCCTCCTCATCCGCAACCGGCTTCGAAATATGTGTTTTGGATACACAGGTTTGGGGGAGAAGTAATCTTGATAAAGACGTTCGGTACCACCTTCCCGATCTCGAGGCACAATTGTTCTTGGAGGATTTTCGAGTATGAAACGCCCCATTTCTTCAAATGACTCATCAAGAAATTGATCATTCCAAAACTTTTCAATCAATGTATTTGATGAATTTGGACCATTTGACATTTTTTTTTTGTTTTTCTGTTGTATAGAGAATGTGAGTTTCAATCTGGACAAAAAATAAATAATATTGATAGTTGTGAGTTACCATTGTTGTGGAGCTCTATGTATAGAGATAATATATTTGATTAATATTTTATCAACTAGTTCAATTTTTAACGGCTAGTTTTTTTAGACACTAGTACTACACTTGAAAATTCAAATAATATTGATAGTTGAGATTTACCTTTGCCGTGGAGTTCTATATATAGAGATGAATATATTTGTGAACACATCAATTGTCAAGCTAGTTTAGTTTTTAACGGCTAGTGTTTTAGACACTAGTAGTCTAGTACTACACTTGAGAATAAACTTGACCAATACTTTAACAAGTAGTGTAATGGCTAATTTTTTTTAACATAGTAATGCACTTGAGCATTCAACTTTGTAGACTAGATAACTTAATTATAAAAAGTAGTTTGACATAAAAATTTATTGATCACAATTTATTTAGATAAAAAAATTCTAGAAACAAGATGGCATGCATATAGTCTACTCATAGTAATAATGTAGTAGACATAGCAACATTACTCTATTCCATACTTTGCCTTATCATGCATATTTGGTCGTGATTTTTCGTTGTGCTTTCATCCATAGTCGAAGTATCCTTGAGTAGTACCTCAAAATCAGTTTGACGAACATGTTCTTGCATCAATGCAAGTCTTTTTGTAGCTAAATCTTCAAATTGATTCCACTTATCCTCAACAATTTTAGAACTTGTCTTCTTACACCCCTTCTTCCTTGCCGCAGCTTTCGCCGCCTTCTGACCAATCGGACGTTCATCTAACAGTTGCACATCATTTTTTCGCTAGTATCATGGTTAGAGGTATACGTACCCGACCTTGATAATTTTGTTCTCTTTAATGAATTGCTTTGTTTTGTTGAAAATACTTGCCATTTTCGGATCAGTGTATAGGACTTCCCAAGCATGTAGGTAGGAAAACTTTCTACCCTTATTACGTTCAGAAAACAAAATGTTTGCCTTATTAATGATGTCTTCTTCATTGTTCCCACTTGGATGGCTTTCTTTTACTTGTATGTAGCACCCATTAAACTTAATAACATCGGCACTCATTTTGAACCAATGGTTGGACAATTTATTAATTGGTATCTCTGGCCCTTCTTCTTTCCATGTATTATAGTATTCAGCTATGTTTCACCAATACAATTCCTTAGTTTGATCGTTGCCTTTGATTGGATCCTTTGAAATGGTTATCCAACTCTTGCACAAACCAACGTATTTAATTTGGCTCAATTTCAACTTAACAGTTTTGGCATTACCTTGATTGGTTTTCTCGTCATTGTAAGATTGAGTAAGAGGAGTTTGGGATTCGTCACCCTACCTTGTAATTGGAGACTCTTCATCATCTAGCCTAACAATAGGAGACTCTTTGTTGGTGCTTAAGTCTGCTATGACATCTCTTCTTGTGTTGTCATGAGCCAAATCTTGTTCATGAATGATTGGAGGACATGTAAAAAATCCCGGATGAGTTGGATGATAATCTGGCCTAACTATGTGAGGATGATATGTTTGGAAATATGTCTTTGGTGGATATGGAGTCATAGGACTATAGTAATTCTCAGAAGGATGATGAAGAACCGGTCGAATTGCAGAGGGTTGAGGATGTGAGAATTTTGGAGTTGGAGCATGAGAGTTTTGATTTTCAGAATTAAAACAAATTTCTGAATAATCATAGTAATACGGGTCTTCAAAATTATCCATGTGAAAATTTGATAGTGCAAGAATACTACGTATTTCAGAGTATGGAGAAGCAAGTACAATGGGTTTTAAATTAAATAATGGTACTTTTTTTTTTTTTTTTTTTTGAAAAAACTAGCTATTGTAAAAATTAGGTAGCAAATAGAAAGTTGTTGTAAAATATATTTACCAAATAAGTAGTAGTCCTTTGATACAAATTACATGGGAAGGACTTAATTGGTGGAATAACCAATTTATTTTGGCAAGTTTTATTCTCAAGCAAATTAGCTTGGCAAAGCTAATTTGCTTAGCCAAGTTTTTGCCAAGCTAATTGTGTTTTAAGTTCCAACTAGTGTGTAGCCCGGGCGTTGCACCGGTTGCTACTTTAATTAGACCTTGTGATTATCGGTTATATGCATTTATTTTCATGTTATAACATAGTTTATGATTGGTTTAGATGGTTAAGTAACTATCTTTCTTATAGAAGGTTGGATGTTCGAATCCCCTTATCATCGTTTTTTTATATGAAGCAATATTCTAGTCTACGTGGCACAGAGACGTTCTTAATATATTAGTATAGATGATATAGCTAGTAGCTAGGGAATTATTGAAACTGCAAGCAAGTCCCTAGCTACAACTATTGGATTTGCTCTAAATCGGGGCTTGCTTCTTTTTTAAGGCTTGGTAAATCTTTTTATTAAAAAAATAACACAAAGAGACCAGTTGTATAACTTGTATTAAGAACAGGTCTCTTACGTACCATATAAAATTCCTTAAAACCCCCATGGCCCAATTTTCAATTTAGGCGTGCTTCTTCTGTCTTCAACCTCTCGAACAAACACCTAGCCGTTCAGCCATGAGTTTGAGCAACTGCGCAGTAGAGAGAGCTTTCATTGGAGCAGGCTGCAACAGAATCGTCAACAATGTTTCTTGGGGTGCCTCTAATCTTGTTGCTTTTGGTGCCAATAATGCCGTTGCCATTTTCTGCCCTCAGGTTACGTTCTTATAATTCTTTCTTGATTCTTATTTGCAAATTCATGGACTTTGCAAATTTTGATTTCAATTTTTCTGGGTGTGTTGCAGAAAGCCCTGATTTTCACTACACTTCCTGGTCACAAAGCTGCTGTTAACTGCACTTATTGGTTACCCACTTCAAAGTTTGCTTTTAGAGGTTTTTTTTTTTTGTGCTTTATCTTTTGTTTTTGTCAATTGGGGTCTTTGAATTTATTCAATACTTTGAATTTTGAATTCAATTTCTGTTTTATGGGATTGTTTGATAGAGATGGTTTGTGTTCAAATGGGGTTTTTCCCTGGTGTTGAAATGATGGATGGCGGCGATGCCATGGCTGGGTTTATATTGCATTATCATTGTCTAAAGTTTAGTATTGTAAAACAAGTGATTAGGGACCTGGAATACATTGTATAATTGTGCCACCTTTGTGAAAACCCTATTAAAGTTAAAATTTTAGTATAAATTGCTACAATATCATTTGAAATTGATGTTTTACTTTTGTTTCCATAGTATTGAACCACTTGTTATAAGGAAAGGTATGTTAGGGGATCCAATCATTGTCTGATACCGTTTTAAGAACTGTGATCACCTTTCCCGAACAAATTAGATATGTGACTAATTTACAAACATGATGAGTACTTTCAGTTTCATACCCGCCTGAAGTTCATGGATCTCCTACACTAGATAGAATTCAAATCATATGAACTTTATCAGTATCATTTTCATAAAGAAGACAGGATATTTTGATTGAACTTTGTTTTATATTTTCGTAACCCTTGAAGGTCTTGATCAAGGCTAATAGCTATAGCTATTAGCTAGTGGTAAATTGTTGTTCTTATATGTTTGTCTATCAATGTTTTGTGTTGCAAGAATCCTGGTTATGTCCATGTCTACTGTCTAGGCGGACTGGGGTTTGAGTTTTGACCAAATTGTCTGAAGTACATTTAGAAATATATCATATAATTTAACTGTGCTAAAATTTGGATTGTTAATAGTTAGATGAAGACTACAGCCACTGAAAAGTTGTATGGAAATTGTTTTCAGTTTTTCACAGTTAATCTGCCTACAATTAGTGACTTTGTAGCAAGTAAGCAACTGATGTCCTAAAATAACATTAATGTTAAGTCAAGTAACCGAGTATCTGATTACCTCTTGGATTTGATCTTACCCATGCCTTTATTGACACAATCGTGTTCTCTCCTGAATCTTAGCCTTCTCGATTTCTATCGTCTCTCCCTCCCCTTTTTTCTCCCAAATCACGGTATATATGAGTTGCATGTGATTATCACTTCAGTCTTCAGTTGTAGTATAATGTTATCACTCAAATTATGAATTTTCTTGTAAGTGTTGTAATAGATTGGATACTAAGGACAATATATCAATTCTAGTATCTTAGCAAATGTGGTTTGATTCAAGGATGGCCTAAAATGAGAAATGAGTGACTTTTTGCTCTACCAGTATTAAAATTGAAAGCTTTCAGCTGCTGATTCATCATTATTTTCTTTCTGAAACAGCTCAACAACTAGGGCAGCATTATTTGCTCTCTGGAGATGCTGACGGTACTATTATTTTGTGGGCAGTTTCTCTCACAGATAAAAAGGTATTCCATATTGCTTTATAGACAAAGCAGCTGTGCTTTATTGTTGGCTAGGTCTTAATCTTAGCTCTTCAGGGGTTGGGATTTGAAGTTGTATTTAATGTCTGACTGATTTCCTTGACATTGTTTTTACATATTGATTCTGGCCACAACAATTCCAACGATCTTATCTTTCTTTTGATGTGTTCTGATACCAAATACGATTTCATGTTTAATTTTTAAGTCCTTTGACCTATTCCCCCCCCCCCCCCCAAAAAAAAAAAAAAAAAAGAGAAAAGAAGCATTTCTGTCCATGTGTGTGACTATTTGTCAAACAGCTTGCCACAAACTTATTGTTTTCCCCGACTTTATTTCCTTCAGGTTTCAAAGTATTATTTCAAACCCAATTTATAATGCTAGGATCAATATGAGATGTTAATCATTGTAGGGAAGTTTAATAGCTGAAGTCATTTCTGTATTCTGAATCTTAGTTCTATGTTTGTTTGAAAAAAGAAAACCAGAATGGTCTTGGCAATGTAATACTTATTTTATACTTTTTCGGATTTTTTTTTATCATTCTGGAACTTTTATCATTCTGGAACTTGTGTGCCTCTTGTACCCTTATAATGGTCTAACCTGATTAGCTCAAGAAATAGTTGTGTTGTGCATAAATTTTCTCAGTTGCTCTATATGTGTGGACTTCTTCATTAACTGAATGTCGGATTCACTAATCTGTGACTACAGTGGAGACAAGTATTGACTGTACCGCAGCCTCATAAGAAAGGTGTTACATGCATCTCTGGAATAATGTTTTCTTCAACAGAAGCAATTTTTGCTTCAACTTCTTCTGATGGTACAGTAAACATCTGGGAAATCATTCTTCCAGTAACTGCCCAAGGTTGGTGATATTTTTAACTACTTACCTGTCTTGTACATTTTTTTCCATCTAGACCATGCAAAACTTCTTTAATGTTGATTGTAATATTTACCTTATTTCTGTCTGGTCCTTTTAGCAAAGCTCAGAGGACTACTCTTCCCTGCATATATATCCTTCAAATTTTTCTGATTTTGCTCTAGCCACAGATCTCATAATGTAAAGCATGACGAACATGCTTTTCCTCCCAATTCTAACATAAAGTAATTTTAAGATGCAACATAATAGAGGAGTGGATGCTGAAATCCATAACACGCTTCTTAAATCTTAATTCTGAAGAATCTGTTTATAAGATGTGGAGCATCTTTAGAAGAAACAAAAGATGATGGTTGCCTCTTGTACAACTCTCCTCTTGTACAACTCTGGATACACAACATACAAATATCATATCACTTATTAAGGGGTCAATTTGACGGCTATCTTACATATGCGCCTACCCAAAATACATTATCCTGGCAAAAGCTTAACTTCCCTTTGAAATGCTAGACTTTTATGTAATAGAGGCTATGAAAAAGAAGCAGGATCTTAGCATCTTCCTTTAGTTTTTTCTTGAATGGGAAAGATCGTTGATTATTGAATAATATGTGATATATAGAACAATTGATAAAATCAATTGAATATGTTGCTATACTTATGTACTTCGTATTAAATAATGTGTTAAACTAATTTACCCTATTCCACTCTGGCAAATTTTTTAGTCAGCTGTTGGGATTAGTAGCACTGGATCTTGTTAAATATTCTTGAATAAGATCCATAGATTTGGTTTTTGAAGTGCTGTGTTACAATGCAGCAAAATGTTATTCCCTTCTATGATCAATTGACCAGAACTGTCTAATTATTCTTCTAAAGAAGTCAGTAAACATTTTTTAATTGATAGACAAAAGGCAATGCTCTTAATAAGACTACATAGTTGGATCTAACCTTGGCGAGTTAAAAAAAATGTTAAAAGCAACCTTATGTCAAACATTCTTAGATGAATTTGATGTTTACTAGTTGAGTTTGGGCTTGATTATAGGAAGAATAGTAAGAGAGTGAGATAATCCATTGAAATTGGTAACTTATGCTATGCTCTTTTAATTTCCCCTATTTCTCCTCTCTTTGAAAATCTGTTTTAGTTTATTCTATTTATCTGTCAGTATATGTATTGATTTTTTGGTTATCTATTATCCCGTGTCTCTTTCCACTCTCTCTGACTCCCTTCTAGGGTACTTAAACAGAGCTGTATGTATTATATTCTAAGGATGGTTTTTGTTCCTTCAAAGGGAGAATAAAAACTTTTTACATGATTTAGAGTTCTCACATAATAAATTTATTGCAACTGAAATCCTCAATTTGCTGGAATTAATAGCTGTTTCAAATATTGTTGTCAATCTAGTGAAATCTCGTAGTTTTTAAAGTTCCTTTAGGTCTTGTTTGGGAATTATCATATTATTTCAAATGATGGAATTGTTCCAAATAGCTTGTTTGAAAATTATTAGAATTTGCATTTGAATTTGACTCAAACCCTAGACTTTAAATGTTTAATTCAGTTTACCGAATTTAAATCCAATATCAATTGATGGCATTTCAAATCCTTTAAACCATTCTCTCTTCCCTTTTTTTGTTGTTCCCAGTTGTAAAGCCTTAACTTTTACCATGGCTGATTTTCTCTCTCCTATACACTTTCTGGACCCCTCTACCATTGTCACAACAACAACCTTTGTGGATGCCGCCGTCACGTCAACCACTTTTGTGCCACCACTTTCACCTTTGTGAGAAACGAAAATAACTATATCCTCCATTGCTGCAAATCCACCACCATCGCCTTCAATGTACCGCTGCAAGACTAGACATTCATCGGTGGCAATGTGCTATGAATTTTGGTCTTAAAATTTAAAAAACCTATATCTGAATAATAATCGAGATATACAAAAGGAGAAATAAAAACATGAAGAATCTGGTCGATTTGAGCCGATTTCTGACCTATTTGGGTCAACAATTTGGGGATTTTGGAAGAACAATTAAGGAGGAGAGAGATTGAGAGGGGGAAGCAATGTAAGAGAAGAGAGAGGAAAAGAGAGAGTGGGCTGTAGGAGTGAAGATGGTGCATAACAATTTAATATGAAACTATAAGTTGTTGCTGCTGAATACCACGGTATTCTAGGTAAACTTTCCCAAACAAAGAACTTGGCATTGAATATCTGTATTTGAAATTACAGACATAAAAATCCAGAATTGAAATCAAATGCTTTTATCCAAACACTACCTAAAAATATTTCTAAACATGTGATTTATGAATTTTTTCTCTTAACCTGTCCATTTACGTATTTTAGACATTAAGCTCTAACAGGGGGAAAAAAAAACTTAGGACTTGTAGCTGTATACTCCTTATTCTACCTGACCCATGTCTTTGAGAATCTTTGGGAATATCTCCCAAAATTTTTCATTTGTTCTACAGATTATTATGTTTTTATTTAGTTTTTGACATCCTGTGCGAGGTTGTCAAGAAGACCCAAATTCAATTGCATCCTAATATGTGCATGGTATCTGGAGTGTTTGCTTATTGTACTGCTGCTTCATCTGGCTGTTTGTGCTTTATAATTAATAATACATCTGTGTTAATAATACTTCTGTCTTAAGTGGTCTTACTTTAAGTGCTTTATTGAGAAATCATAAGTGAAACTTTTGATCAAATTTGCCTGTATTTTTTTTGGATTGTGTTCGATCCATTCTCTTTATGGTGCAGGTGTCTTGTGTGCATGCAACCTGAAGTGATTGGTGTCATTGTTCTGATTTTTTCCAGGTGACTGTTTGGTCTCATTGATCTGATTGTTTTCAGGGGACTGCAAATTGTCGCATCTTGAATCTCTTTTTGTCGGTTCAAAAACAATGGTAACACTTGCATTAGCGGAATTACCTGATAATACAGGACATGTTGTCCTTGCCATGGGAGGTTTGGATAATAAAATTCATTTGTATTGTGGAGAGAGGACAGGAAAGGTATAGATTTGTATGGACGAGTTCTCTTTGCTTTCTTTCTTTTTCGCTTTATTCTTTGAGGCAAGTCTTGTTGCTCATCTGGACTTCAGTTTTCTTAGTTTGCTTATCATTGGTTGATTTCAGTTTGTTCGTGCTTGTGAACTGAAAGGACATTCAGATTGGATTAGAAGTTTGGATTTCTCCTTGCCTATAGGGAAAAATGGGGCAGGAGAGACTTTATTACTTGTAAGCTCATCACAGGATAAATCTATACGCATATGGAAAATGGTCATACGCGAAACCTCAGATGACCCTGAAAGGAAAGGTGTTATAGGCTTAGCGTCATACATTGAGGGTCCTCTTTTTGTTTATGGCTTAGCCACCTATCAGATATCACTGGAGTCCCTCCTCATTGGACATGAAGACTGGGTTTATTCTGTTCAGTGGCAGCCACCTATTACATCCACAGAAGGAAGAGGATACCTACAACCCCAAAGTATATTATCTGCATCTATGGACAAGACAATGATGATCTGGAAACCTGAGAGCACTTCTGGCATCTGGATGAATGTTGTTACTGTTGGAGAGCTTAGCCACTGTGCTTTGGGATTTTATGGTGGGCACTGGGATCCAAATGGGGATGCCATTTTGGCACATGGATATGGTGGGTCTTTCCATCTCTGGAAAAATGTTGGTATTGATTCTGAGAATTGGCAGCCACAGAAGGTTCCTTCTGGACATTTTGCAGCTGTATCGGACATTGTATGGGCCAGATCTGGTAAATTCTTGTTGTCAGTAAGTCATGACCAGGTATGTTCTTTCTCCCAATAGAATCATGTTTTTGTTTAGGTAAACTAGGATTTTCTTAGTTTCACTACACCCAAAGTTCCAAACCATGTCCTATGATAGGCCACACTAGAAGCTAATCTAGGCATGAAGTACTATGAGAAATCTATGCACTCCTTCCTATATATATATTTTTTAAAGCAACACTTTCTATTTTCATCGGTTATTTATTTATTTTTTTTTAATAAAAGCTACACTTCCTCGTTTGGAAATCCCTTACAATTTAATAATATATCTTTACCCACTAATGTCCCCACTCTCTCTTACTTTTTCATTTCTCACTCCTCCAATGGTCTCCACTCCCTCTCACACCACTTTACTTTTCAATAAAATAATAACTTTATGTACCCCACTAACATCTTATTTTATTAAACCTCCTAAAACTCTGTGCAATCCCAACTCTAGCTTTAAAAAAAAAAAAAGATATGGAGGGAGTACCTTGTAATGCTTCTCATGCTTCTGTTGAAGTCATTGTACGGTTTATTTAATAACAGTTTGAACTCAATGAGATAAATTCAAGAGAAGAATTTGCTTAGATGAAGATTTGTTCTGGGTTAAGATAGGTGTACAATGAGAATTGAGAAACGAGGGTGACGTGTGACATTTATGATTGAACTTTATGCTGGTTTGATCTTCAAAGAGACATTGGATGACTTGCCATGTCATTCTATATACCTACCTTATCTTAAATTTGTTTTTGATAAAAGGTTAATTGTGTAGAGTTATAGTGTCATAAATTTTACTGAAGAATCATTGTGTGTGGATTCCTACAAATGGTCACTAAGATGTGATAAATGTATAATTTGGCCCTTTAACCATTTATTTCATTGATTCAGTGTTCACTTGTAATCCATAGAGGCATAAATTGCTCTCTTTTAAGTAAGTCATTCCTATCCATCCACTATATGATTGGTTGTAGCATTTTCTGTTGAATTGGATATCTTGGGTCAGATGTATCTGAAAAAAAGTCGGCTTCAAATAATACAATGTTTCTGTAAATCAATGTTGACCTGTTGACAACCACAAAGCAGTTTCGTCAACATTTCTGAAATTTCATTGTGCATATATCTGCATGTGTTGGTGGTAATGAGTCAGAAGGGAGTGAAAATCTGCTGTTATTTGCCGTGAGGCAAGGTCAGAAGAGAGCTCCCTTCCCCAACACCCTCCTAAGTATCTCTCTATGTTGGCTTCCTATAATCACTGCCTAACTGCCTTAACATTGTTTCGTTTTTTTTCCTAGAAGAAAAAGGAATTCTGTGTAGGGTTGGGATGAGTGAACCCCAAGTTTAGGAAAGAGGGTGAGAGAGTTATTTGAGGCCATTCCTGCTCTAAATGAAAAAACACAGGCCCTGATCCGACTTTGAATTGTTAAATTGAAAGAACACAGTAATATAAAAACTCCTATCCTATAGGAGAGAAATATTTGGCCATTTGAGCTCTGAAAATTTCTTACCCTAATCTGAATTTGTTGTGCCTAATTACTTTTGAAAAACCAAAACTTTAACAGAAAGTTTTAATGTAGTAAAAAGTAATACCCAATTAAACATCAGAAGTAGAAAAAAATAATACAGCCTTGACATTTAAAGAAAATTGGGGAAAAAAAGGTTGATAAAACTTAAAAATTCCAGCGATTATGGTCTATCATTTTCTACATAATTATCTTCATTTTCGACTCAAAGTGAATTGAATGAAAGCTGTAAATGCTTCCTATTCCTTAGTCTTGAATATTGGTTAATATGGTTATAATAGTTCTGGTTGTTTCATTGCGGCCCCACTATTGAAATTAGAGAGAACAGGGATGGAGGCATAATTGAGATTTGAAAGGGAGGGGGAAATAGAGAGTAGTGCTTTCTCTGGCATTTCTCAGATATTATTGGAGGAAATTATTGGGATCAGGGAATGTAATGTTGAACTTGCTATTTTGATTAACTCTCCATTAATGATTAATGTAGCAGTTTGATAAGTCATTTGATCATGTTAATTTTATACTTCAAACTCTTCCCACCATCAACCATTCACTATAGTTTCTCTTCTCAACTTCCCATTGATCTCATAGTTTTACACGCATGTGCAATTCAGCTCATTTCAGCTTAATTATTCCGTTCTGTTGTTGCTCTTATTGAATTGTCATGCTACTTTGGTTTTCATTTTTGAAAAAAGTACTGTCTACAGTTCTTATCTCCTCATATTGATTGGTCCCACCTTAGATTGATGTTTTTGCCTTCTTAGATGCAGAATCGCAGAAATTGATTTTAAAATCCAGTTGTGGAGTTCTATGTTTTTCTGAATAGTTGGTGTGTCGTGCGATTTTTTTTTTGGTTGCTTTGACCTCCTTTAAAATAGATTTTGTTTAAACTTGATTTTTGCAGACAACTCGAATCTTTGCTCCGTGGTTGACCCATACAGGAGATAGGTGCTCTTGGCATGAAATTGCACGTCCACAAGTTCATGGTCATGATATTAACTGTGTGACGGCCATACAAGGGAAGGGAAACCACCGCTTTGTCAGTGGAGCTGATGAGAAAGTGGCCAGAGTGTTTGAAGCCCCTTTATCCTTTCTGAAGACATTGAATTGTGCTGTTTCACAGGAATCTGACGTCCCAGAAAACATTCAGCTGGATGTCCAAATTTTAGGGGCAAATATGTCTGCTCTTGGATTATCGCAGAAACCTATTTATGTTCATGGTGACTCCTCACTATTTTTTTTTTGTATGGAAGTACTGTTTCTGTAACCATATTGCATTTTAGACATGGGCATGTCTAGACAATAGAAAAATAAAAGTTCATGATGTGAAGAGCAAATAGTCACAGTTTAAGTTTGATTTGTGCAGCTGCGCAGGAAAGTATAGAGAGACCTGACACAGAGGTCGTTGACACACTTGAAACTGTTCCTGAAGCAGTACCAGTTACATTAACTGAACCACCTATTGAAGAGCAACTGGCATGGCATACATTGTGGCCAGAGACACACAAGCTTTATGGTCATGGAAATGAGCTGTTTTCTCTATGTTGTGACCATGAGGGAAAGCTTGTTGCTTCCTCTTGCAAGGTATGGAACTTCCTCTCTTAATTATGATTCTCAGGGCATGTAATGTGCTGGACATGTGTTGTTTTATATCATTGATACTTTTATTAATTTTGTTAGTAATTTCATATATGTTGGATTGTTTGAAGTATGCAACATGGATGTGTCAATTATATATTTTATATCATGTTTTTTCTGTTTACTAGTTAATGATCACAGTATAACACCTAAGTATATAGTATTAGCTATGGTACCATTCTGCCAGATATGCCTCCAGCATTATTACTTTATGACAAATCCGAGTGCAAGTTATATAGAAGTCACAAATACACTTTTTTTTTTTTTTTGATGCTTTATTTATTTGGGGGGGGGGGTGTTGAGGGTGAATTACTCCATCCTTCAGGAGTCCAGCCAATTTTGTTCAGCTATGTACTCATCTTCTTGAATTTGCTCTACTGGTCTTGGAAATTGATATGAAATGATGAGCTCAACACTATTAGTTATTTTGGGTCATTATGGAAATGAACCGTGCTCAGTATTTGCACCACAACTTGCCAAGTTTCGATGTCTTTCTTTTTGGCTATGGCTTGTAGGAATGTTAATGATCTGTTGATTGAAGAAGAGTTGATTGTTGAAATGATGAGACTTGGATTTAAGCTTTAATTTAGCTATGAGCGTGATTTAACCACTATGTTAGTTTCTGGGCCCTTGCTAGCCAATCTTTACTTCCTAGGTTCAGTTGAATCCTTCCCTTCCCACATATTTCTGTGGGTCTTGCCGAAATCGATTGTTTGGAAGAAAGTGTTTTGTACCATGATTTTGCTCGATGGTTGATCTTTCAGCACTTTATCATACTTTTGTTTGTTTCTACATCTAGATTTGATCCAATAGGACACACAACAGTATAGCTATTATTTTTGGTGCTTCATGACTCTTCTCTTACAGCCATGCCATGCTAACATGTCATAAATTTTGACCCTTATAATTATAGAAAATTGGAAATTGCATTTATAGTAGTTGATCCGTACAGCAAATTTCATGTCAGAACAGAACCCTTGAACCACTATTTACCTTGAAACCCACCAAGGACTTGACACATGCCACCTACTTGAAATAGATTTTCATATGCCTAGGCAACGAGTAGAAGAGATCATCCTGCTCTTAAATCCTACTATCCTAGGTTCTTGGCACCTTATATGACTTGGGATGTCCTCCCACAAAGCATCATATTCATTCACAAACCACTAGATCCACCTTGCTTTTAGAGCTTCATGCATAGATTAAAAAAGGAATCCTAAGACCTCCAGCATGTCTGGGTCGACAAAAATTTTCCCTCATGATCTATGGGAAATCTTTATCAGATTCATTTATTGCTCATGTGAACTTTCTTCAATTTTTCTATCTTTGAACCCCACGGGCTAGGATAGTGAACATAACAGTGTAATTGGCAAGGAGGAAATGGTGCTCTAACCCCCTCTCAACAATGGATTTGGTTTCTGTGCTGCAATACTTGCATGGAATCTCTTGATAATAGGATCCCAAACAGAAATGCACATGACAGGAGCAGCAAATGGGTTGAAGAATAAATCTCCATCTCTTAAAGATTACAATCAGCTTTTTTTCTGTATATATATATATATATATATATGGATCCTCACCAAGTGAAATTAGCACATTCTTCTGAAGGCTGACCCATAAGCCTGACATCCAAAAAGCACAAGAGCACATATCAGATTACCATAACACCAAATTATTTAATTCCTCTCTTGATGAGCACATACCAGATAACCCAAACTATTTAATACCTCTCTTGATGTCTCATTCCTTAGTCGTGCTGCTAATAAGCTAATACCAGATAACCCAAATTATTTAATACCTCTCTTGATGTCTCATTCCTTAGTCGTGCTGTAAAAAAGCTTTCTCTATTGCTTTTATTTGCATTATTAGTAGAGTCAAAGGGAAAACAACCTGTTTCTTAATTTAATTATGTGTTCCACTTTTTTTTTTAATTTTTTTTCTATTTACCCTTTAATTTTCAGTGTTATGTTGAGACTGCTAATAATATATTGTGTGCTTAAGTCTTGATGTGGTATTGATTTGCAGGCCCAGACAACCTCAGTGGCAGAAATATGGCTATGGCAGGTTGGATCATGGAAAGCAGTTGGTCGGTTACAGTCTCATAGCTTGACTGTGACGCAGATGGAATTCTCGCATGATGACAGTTTACTTCTGTCTGTCTCTAGGGATCGTCAGTTTTCCGTCTTTTCCATTGAAAGAAAAGGTACTTAGCCTAAATAAATTGTAGGTATTGTGATTGCTGACTAGTCAAATTTATACTCTCTTCTGTCTTATCACTCTAAAATAAGTGTGTTAAAAATTATGTACCATTTAAAAAAAATAATAATAATCTATGTACCATAGTAGGATTAGTAGCTACTGCATTGGTATTCAAATCTCACAAGTAATTTTGCATTGATATTTTAGACTAAAAAGTAGTGTGTTAATTATTTCAAGTGGTATTATGGAATAAGAAAGCTTAGTCAAGTAAATAGGTGATAGTATAGTATGGGGCCATGAAGGTAGTATATACTTTGTCATTTTATGGACTTTTGAATCTAAGAAGCATGCTGTCGTCATGCTATCTTTCTGGGAAAGCTATGGAACCCTAAAGAGATGATTGAATACCCTCTTCTCAATATTTGGAGAAGGTTAAAAACTTGCATACATGCTAAAACTATCTTGTACCTTTTCCGTCACAATGAAGCTGCTAAAAAATGCCATTGGTTTGCTTCTGGCACTGATGTTGCTGTCCTGATACCTCAAATATTTTGAGAAAGTTGGTTTTCTGATTACATGGTCTCTCAAAACTAAATAGAAAACTAGTGATGTCTTCCTCTCAAAATTTAATTTTACTCCCCTTGGATGAGTTCTCTGCCTGATGATCCTTGAACCTTTTTAGTTAAAATTCAATTTCCATTGTTGTGATGATGTACAGGTGTGGACGAAATCAGCTATGAACTTTTATCAAGGCAAGAGGCTCACAAAAGGATTATATGGGCATGCTCTTGGAATCCTTTTGGCCATGAATTTGCAACTGGTTCAAGAGATAAGACTGTGAAGTTATGGTCAGTGGTGAACAAAAGTTCCGTCAAACACTTATCAACTTTGCCACCATTCTCATGTAGTGTTACTGCCTTATCTTGGCTCGGTATTGATCGTCAAAATAATCATGGTTTACTAGCAGTTGGATTGGAAAACGGATCCATAGAACTCTGGGGTCTTTCTGCTAAACTAGAAGATGGATGTATGGCAACTGTAGGATTTACAGTTAATGTTGTTGCGAAGTTTGATCCATTCATGTGCCATGCATCAACTGTGCAGCGTTTAGCATGGAGAAACTCAGAGAAGGTAGAAGACTGCAAAAGCAACCAGCTTGCTTCTTGTGGGGCTGATAATTGTGTACGAGTTTTCGAAGTGAATGTTAGTCATTGCTAGGAGGATTTGACTATATGCTGAGGCTTCAAAATTTTGCTGTAGTTCATTCTGCTTATTGTTCAAGTACTTAGTTGTGCCCCTTGACTTGTACCCCTTTTTGGGCAGTAGGTAGGTTAAGTGGTGAAATAGTGTTGATGGAATCTACAAATGATATTTTCGTGACACATCAACACTTCCGATTGTGATTTATAAAGTGATCCTTGCTGATAATGATATTCATTCTTGAAAGCAAAAGCTCTTGCAAAGAGGAAAAAAAATAAAAAACAAAAAACAAATTCAAGCTCCAATAAGAAGGGATGTGGAGAAATTGATGTGTTTTCTACCATTTGATCTCAATGATAACTTAATTTAAGAACTAAACAATGATATTGACAACAATATGTTGAAACAAAACCTAAATTTGATTAAGTATTTATCTTTTGCATTATTTTGCAAAATATTGGTGATTAGGTAATTAGATTTCAATTTCTTGACTCCAATGGCTACATAGTCAATTAAAAGAACAAATTTTGTTTTCTCTAGTCCTCCAAATTCATCCACTATTAAAGTAAATTTCATTTATATGTAATTATAGTACATTGATGTTGAACAAACAGCTAAACTTTGTTTGAAATTGATGTGCAAAAAAAAAAAAAAAAAAAGAAAATTGATAACACGATTACAATGTATTTGGGCATAACAATTTTTTATCTAATGAAAGCAAAAACAAATACTCCATTCCTCATGAAAGAAAATTTTAGCTTATCTATTATAATGCCTACGGTCTATAAAATCTCAGGATCGACCTTTATTCTTACATAATTACAATGAATTAATAAATCGATCTTGCTAACGAGCGCCCCGGGGCGTTAGATAAGGATAAATTATATTGGTTGAAATGGTATTAAGTTAGGAATTCATGACAAAATCACGCGTCGTTCGGTGTAATTAATGTTAATTTTACTCTAATATTTGCACTTTAATTCTCTTATCTAACGCCCCGGGGGCGCTCATTAGCTTTTGCCTTAATAAATAACTTATCAATCCCAGATTTTATTTTTAAATTATTTTTAATTTTTGTTAACTTTTTTTTTTTTTTTTAAAAGGGATTGGGTAACTAAGTTATTTTCTACCGTACGTATCAAGTCATAGAAATCGGTAACCCCTCTCTATAACAGACAAGCCGCCAAACAGCCAAGCATAAGCCAGCCCATCACAGCCATTCCGCCAAAAAAACCCCATTTCACCATTTCCACCACATTAGGGTTTTTCTAGGGTTTATCATCCTCCTTCATTCAATCCCCCAATCCTCAATTCTATCTCAATACCCAAAATCAAAACCCTAATTTCATCAAAAAAAATTCAATTCAATCATGATTCCCCCTCACAATCACATTCACTCATCAGAGTCAATCGCAGCTGCCGGACTCTCATCGGATAAACACAGTATCCAAAGCCTACAATCGAAAATGAAGTGTGATCCCGAAAGTTATGAGGCTGAATTACAGACAAAATACATGGATTTTAAATCATCTCTTGAGATTTTTGAGCAACAAGCTGCTCTTAGTTTCAATTCTGTTAGTGGGGTTTCTCCTGATCCTTCTGTTGCTAAAGAACTCGGTGATTTGGCATTGTTCTTGGCTCATATGACCCCTTTTTACCCTAAATTTTTGTCATTGTATCCCAAACAGCTTGCTGATCTTCTTCGTAGTACCGGTAAGTCGTTGCCGTCTTCGCTTCGTAGCCAGCTTACTCAGGGGCTCATCCTTTTGGTGAATCGTAAGGTAGCACATTTCTCTGGTTTTTATTTCGTGTTGTGTTATGTTCATTAGCTAGGATATATGCGAAATTTCAGTGAAAATGTTATCTTTTTGGGAAACTTATGAACATAATCTCAATATACCCAGTAATAAAATTGTAATGAAGATCAGTTGGAAAGTTTTTAATTCAATGACGGATGCGGAATTATGATGGGTGTAGAAGTGGAACTGCTTTGAGTTGTTTTGTATGAGAATAAGACTGTTTACTACACTTCTGGGAACAGACTGTTAATTAAGTTTACGAATGATTATAATGTAATATAGGTTGATGAATGTGACCATATAATGTATATGTCATAACCTTGTGTAGTTGTGTAAGTAGTGTGACCGTGTTTTTGGTTTGCAGATTGTTTCTATTGGTGAGACATTGGAATTGTTCATGGAACTTCAGACTTTTGATGATAGGAATTTGAGGAAATTGGCATATTCACATGTCATTCGTTTCATTCAGCGCATGAATAAAAAGCACAAGGATGAATCTAAGAATAAGCCTCTTCAAAATGTTCTTTTTAAAATGTTAAAGGTCTGTATTCTTTTTAAATCATCTTGTATACATCGTAATGATCTGTATTTCTCAATTCAGTTGATTGGAAAAAATAAAAAAAAAAAATTGTGTGAATGTACTTGCATATTCTTATAGCGTGAGGAGGAGGCATTTGCAAAGAGGGCTCTTGTCACACTTTGTGATCTTCACCGAAGGAAAGTTTGGTCTGATGAAAGAACTGTAAATGGAATTTGCATGGCGTGCTTTCATCCTTCATCACGGTAACCACCTTTTGTCCCCTTAAAAGTTAAAGCTATGTGACACTATAAGTGTGGTCATGGAAGCATAGTCTGACTCGTGTTTCTTATTATTTCAGGATCATGATAGCTGCTCTATCCTTCCTACTTGATTATGAAAAAATCAAAGATGATGATGACAGTGATGCTTCAAGCAGTGAAGATGAGGCCTGTACTCTACAACCCCAAGTAGTTCTGGGTAGAGAGGATGTGTATAAGGTAAGTACAGCTTTTTGTCACAGTTGTCTGTTATCTCCTTGTAGGATTACAAATGAATAGCTATCTGGATAGTACCAATTATATAAAATGCAGGCCTTGCTTGAATTGGGGTTACTAGTTAGGGACTTAGGGAGTAGATTTTATTTGAAGAATTATTAATGGGGGGTTATTTAAGGGTGGACAATTTATGGAGATAGATAAAGAAAAGGTTTGGCAATAAGCCAATCAGGTATTATTTACAAGGCTAATGTGTTATTTTGATTTGTAAGAATCCGTGAAGGTATAAATAATTTAGATTTTAGATACACTCATTTTCTAGTTTTATTTTCTTTATATACTGAAAATGAGTGAATATGAGAACAGAATCAAACTTCATTGCAAACCCTAAAATTAGCTAGCTTTTCGAAAATAAATGATATAACAGATCTGATAATATTTAAATCATAGAGTAATTGAAACCTTAATATAAAAAAAAAATTAAAAAAAATTAAGCAATATAATAAGAAAGAAGAGAAGAGAAGAGAATTGGAAAAATCAAACAAATGATTTTTAAAGTGAACATGTCAAATTAAGGCCCTGTTCTTTTGAGCTTCTGGCAGAGCAGAGCAGATTTCAGCAGAGCAGAGCAGATTTCAGCCGAGCCGAGCCGAACAGAGCAGATTTTATTATTACTATTATTATTATTATTATCATTATTATTATTATTATTACTATTATTATTATTATTACTACTACTATTATTATTATTAAATATTAATTATTATTATTATTAAATATTAATTATTATTAATTATTATTATTATTATTATTATTATTACTACTACTACTAATACTACTAATATTATCGCATTATTATTATAATCATTAAATTTTTAAAGTTAAATATTAATTATTATTATATTAATTATAATTATTATTAAATAATATTTAATTATTATTATTAAAAATTAATAATTAGTATTATCTTTAAATATTAGTCATTATCTTAATACTAATTGCTATTATAAAAATCAATTATTTTTATTATAATTAATACTATTAGTTACAAATATTATTATTACTGTTAGTATAATTACTATTATTATTACTATTATTATTATTATTACTATTATTATTATTATTATTATTATTAAATATTAATTATTATTGTTATTATTTTTATTAATAATTATTAATAATTTATTATTATTATTATTAAATATTAATAATTATTTATTACTTTTTTTATTTTTTTATTTTTTTATTAAATATCAATAATTAATTATTGTTATTATTATTATTAAGTATTAATTATTATTATAATTAAATATTAATTATTTATTATTATTAAATATTATTTATTTATTATTATTATTATTATAAAATATTAATTATTTATTATTATTAAATATTAATTATTATTATAATAATTTAATATTAAGTTTTAATTTTAAGTAGAGCAGGGCAGAGCAGAGCAAATTTCAGCAGAGCAGAGCAAAGCAACTCTAAAGAACGGGGCCTAAAGTTGGTGATGTAGTAAAAATTTTAACTAGAGAAAACATTGGTATGAATTTCCAGAGGATTAGTGATTTAGTGGTGTAGATGATGACTGTTAAGCATTGGCTTAAGAGAGGGAGAGTGATGGGTTTGGGCCTTTTTCAGTTAACAAATACCACATCCTTTAAATACGGGGTAAAAGACCAGACTTATTACCTCATTAGTTGATATACCCAATACCCTCCCCATTGAGGCAAGCCCAAAGGATGTAGATTTATTCATATTTAACCATTATCTCCTGTAGATGAGCCAAGCTTTGACTTGTTCATTTTGATAGCTTTCCTGATTAGTTGATTCTCTTCCCAAGTTTCATCTTTACACTTGTAAAATTCCCCATGTGTTCCTAGTTCTAGTTGGAATTGGGCTCGTGACTTTGATTATGTAAACACCTGTTGACTTTTTCATTTGAAATGTGTTTTTTGCAGTAATGGGAGTATTTGTAAAAAGACTAAGAGTGCTGTCTTATATGTTTCCTATGAGCTAGATATTGTTTTAATGCAACTCTTTCATGTACCTTCAGGCTCACCATAAAGGCACAACAGCAAGCAAAAAGAAAAAGCAGGCTAAGTTGCAACGTGTGATGCGTAGCATGAAAAAGAAGCAGCGGTTGAGTTTAGAGAAAACCAGTCCAAATTACTATTCACCACTTTTACAATTGAATGATGCACAGGTCTGTTGTGTTTGATGGGGCTTTGCTGCTTTCTTCTTTGGTTTAAATTTCATCACGCTGTTTTCTCTTTAATTTGATTGAACTTTATTTTCTTAAGGGGTTTGCAGAGAAGCTGTTTTCTCGCCTTCAAAGCTGCAATGAGCGCTTTGAGGTTAGTATAAATTCCCTTTGGATGTTTTTTGAGTTTCCGACTGTTTGTCAAATTAGCTTGTTTCTTGCTTATCTTATGAATCATATAGGTGTTGTCTTGTGCTCCACATTCTATAAATCTGTTGTTATCTGGGAGGGTTTCAGATGCGTGTATATACTGTTTTTCTTCCTTTAGTGTAGCATTTCATTTATATGTTTGTCTTTGTTATATGTTTGCCATCAACATTTTCATGAGCACTTTCACTTTGAAATCAAAAGAAAACTCCATTAAGGGATTCATGGACTCAGCTAGTGCCATGTGGGAGAGGGGTTGGTAAATATAAAGTTGCAAACAGTTTTAAAATGATGTTATGAGTTCCATAGTTGCAGTACTCCAGGAAGACTTTCATATGGTTATTGTGTACACTTTCTAATCACTGTACTACATAATAGTTAAATCTAAGAAAGCAAACTAGTTGGTCAGCAAAGCTTTTAGCTATTTCAACCACCTGAGTGGGAAAACACTCATATAAGTTCATAATAATAAAACTGTGTTCATGTAATGTCTTACCAGTTTTGACGCCATAATTTGTGATATAAATGGATTAACAAAAGAAGTGGCATATTAAGGGGTCTCTACTGAATTACTGCAAGGTTAGCAACATATGGCTGGTTACTTGGGTTAGTGCTAATCTGCCATGAAACTCTCATCTACACTCCGAAACATGACTATCCACAAATTTCTCAGTATTAGGAATCTTGTAGTAATTGAATCTCAAAACAATATTGTATTTCTGTAATCATCTGAACAGATGAAGAGTTGTTCAAATCATCTCTGGTCTTCTCCTCTTCATTTGATTTATGTTTGTGATCTCTTTGATCAAAGGGAGTAGGATTTTGCCAAAAAAATAAAATAAAAAACACATTCTTTTCTGGGTCTTCACTTCTGAATTACTTATCTAAAATCCTTCTGTCTTTTGGCAAGTATGGAGTAGGATCTTGGTGAAGGACATCTAACATAAAAAAAGTCATCCTATTTGCAGGCATCTTCACCTTTTATTTTTGAAATTCTGTTATTTCCATAGAGGTTTGACAATTTCATGTTAAAAATAAATGTATTTCTTCCTTTGGTATCTTTAGATAAAGATGATGATGATGAAGGTGATTGCTCGAACAGTTGGTCTTCACCAGTTGATTTTGCTGAGCTTCTATCCCTACCTCCAAAAATATGTGCAGGTTTGTGTTTTCGTAAGTTCGTAACCTTGCTTTGTAAGTTTTTTTCTATAATAATCCGATTTGCATTTTTCATTGACTTCTGCAGCCTCATCAACGTGATATAACTAATCTGCTTGCTGCTGCTGTTCAAGCCTGCCATGATATGGTCTGTTTTAATTCTTTTTTTTTTTTTTTTTTTGAGGAACCATGATATGCTCTGTTTGTGGCATCTAGATTGCTTCTTTTCATTGTTTCCTTTACTCTGAATTTCTGGCGCACCCCCTCAAATAATAATTTTTGCTGGAATTTGTAATATTCATATTATTTTGTTTTGTTAAACTGACCTGTTTTTTTTCACTCTTGGCTCAATTAGGTACCGCCTGACGCTGTTGAACCTCTATTTAAACAGATTGTAAATCAGTTTGTGCACGATCGTTCACGAACAGAGGTATTTCTTGTGTGTCAACTTTTAGATTTAGTGAGCTAGGGAAACCTAAGAGATAGTTCTGTTGTGTTTTAAGATCCGAATTGTTTGCCGTTTATCTAAATATATGTGTTCTAAAATCTAAATTGTGTTGTTAGTCTATAGTTCTTAGGATGTTAATGATGTTTATTGTTTTTGCCGGTTTATTTGTTTGATATCGTGAACTAACCTTCTCTTACTAAAACTTGACAGGCAATATCTGTTGGACTTAATGTTGTCAGAGAGATATGTCTACGCATGCCTCTGGTACTCTTCATTTTTAAGTTTCCTGATCTGAATTTCTGTTTCAAAGTCATACTCCCTAAAGTCAAGAAGTGTATCCCACGTTCCTTTAATGCTCAGCACATCATTGAGATGCTTTTGTAATTTCATATTGTGATTACATTTTCTTTTGTTTTGTGTATTTAGTTGATGAATGAGGATTTGCTACAAGACCTTGTGATGTATAAGACATCAAAAGAAAAGGCAATTTCAAGTGCTGCTCGCTCTCTTGTCACTTTATTTAGAGAGGTAATCATTGCCTTATGTTCTAATTTAACCTGTACACTATTTTTTCCCCTAAATAAATGTGTGTAACAAGGTTATCTGTCTGTAGATATGCCCTTCACTACTAATCAAAAAAGACCGTGGACGATCTAATAATTCGAAGGCTAAACCAAAAGAATATGGAGAGGTGAATGTTGCAATGGGTGTCCCTGGTTCAGAACTGTTGCAGTCAGATGAAGAAGATGGTGATGAAGATAGTGACTTGAATGAAAATTGTCTTAGTGGATCCGAAGATGTTGAGAAAGATGATGCAGATTCATTGGACTACTCTGGCTGTGAAGATGATGCAAAAGATGAGGATTCAACTGAGTCTGAGGAAGAGGATGAAGACAGGACTACTTTTGTTGAAGAGGGTAGTGAAGATGAAGTTAGTGATGCGGATGACATTGAAGATGAAGAAGAATCATGTAGCTCTAGTGAACCTGATGATAGTGATGTGGAGGGTGATAATAAGAAAGGAGCAAGGAAGAGGAAATATGCTGATTTAGACCAACAACTGGATACTGCTAACTCTAGTCTTCGAGCTCTGAAGAAATTGACAGCAGCTAAGTTGGAACACCCATCAGAAGCAGATGATCACATTTATTCCAATGAAGACTTTAAACGAATAAGAGATTTACAGGTACATTGATAGTTCATCATCTGTACCAGGCTTGACCTGCAATACGTGCTATTGACTCACCAAATTCGAGTTTGTCTTTTCATAGTGTAAAGAACTCTGGCCATCTCATGATTCATTATTTCTTTTGTTGTCTTATGCCATATGATCAGATGAAAAAGCAGGCAAGATCTACTTTGGCGCAACATGGAATTTTAAAGGGCACAAATCCTAAGTCAGCAACTATCAAGATCCCAAGCGCAGATCAATTATGCCTCAAGCCACTTGATCCTTCCACACTTGAAGTACGTATTTTTCTGTGCTAGCTAAGCCCCCTTCATTTTGGATCTATTCTTCCACTTGATGAAACCATGAATTGTAGAGAATCCATGAACCAGAATAGGACTAATATAATCCAGTCTGTTATATAATCATTAGAACCATATACGAAAAATTCTTGATGTGAAAAGATGCTGGCAACAACTGATCTTTCATTTGTAAATGCTGTGGATCTTTTGTGTACACTGAACAATATTATTTATTTCTCTATTATAATAATTTTGGGGGGGTATAAAGAAGCCTGTTATAGTGTTATCTGGTTTGTAGCTAATTATATTTGCTTATAATTTTGTGATTGTAGGCAAACATCCGAAGAAAGATGACCAAGGAACAGAGAGTTGCATTGATGAAGGCAGGAAGAGAGGATAGAGAAGGATACACGTCTAAAGCTGCTGTCAAACAGAAGAAGGTTTGTCCATCCATCTGGTCCTACCGTCTTTCTTTTCCTGTTTGTTAATCTCATGGCTATTTATTTGTTTTGAAAGCAAGCTTCCAATGCCTACTCTGAATTTAAAGCTTAATGATAATGACTGTACTGAAGAAGCCGAATTCATGTTTTGATAGATGTACTCGTCTGCTAATAATTTTGGTTTATGCCATTTAGTTTAGGGGAATCGATAATTTCAGCAGATTGATGTTTAAAAGTTTAGGGTTCCAGTTTTTCCATTCTTGTTTTTACTGATCTTGCTGATTCCAATTTTTATATTGCTTCGCCCGTGGTTTTCATGGAATTCTTTTTCTACTGCTGATGTTAATTTTATGATGGTTAACAGAAGGGTGGTTTAAGCAACCGACAGAAGGAACATAAGAAGTTTATGCCTATTGCTGCAAAAAGAGGCAAGATTGCAAGATCTAGAGAAGATAAAAGGATAAAGAAGATGACGTCTGGCAAACAGTTCAGAGGGAAGAAGGCATGGAAGTGATAATTTTGTTCACATAATTTCGCAGGTGCTTATGTTGAAGTGTTGAACAGATGTCTGCGTCTGCAATTCCATTTCAACTTGTTTTTATTTTCTTATTTTTGTAGGTGTATCTCTGCTTTCCCTTTTCTCTCCAGCTCTTGAAATGTCATTTATAATGTCTTTTTTAACCGAAGCTCTTTTTTCAATATAATTATTTAATACAAGTATATTTATTGTTCAACCGATTTTCATTTTCATTTAGCTTCCATTTCGTGAGTCTCACTGTATTATTGTAATGGTGAGATTTATATTTTTTTTCCCTTTTCAACTGAAAACTGGTTCGTGATTCGTGAACGAGACTTTATCTGGTACTCTAACAAATTATAATTTTCTTCCAACAATCAACTGAACTAAGAGGCCGTTTGGTTTGAACAGGGGAATTAGAATGGAATGAACAAAGGGAATGAAGAAGAAAAGAATAGATTGACCCTGATTTAGCTTGATTGTTTGGTTGTGTAAGGCAAACGGGATGAATTGCTCATTTTATATATATATAACTCATGAAAAAAATTGTAGTATCTAACATAAGTCTCCCAAAATGAGAAAACATTGGTATATACTTCGTATTAAAATTGGAAAAAAAATGAACATTTGTATTTTTTTTTTCTTGGTAATTAATAGTCATCCAATATTAAAGAAAAAAAAGATAAAATCATGAACTATTCGTCCTTACCAAAAAAAAAAAAAAAAAATAAACCAAACCCTTGAACAAATATACATCTAGGAGTGTTCATAAATCGGTTCGAACTGAAAAAAATGGACAGGACCACTTCAGATCGACCCCGGACTAGATCAGACCGAATTAATCGATCTGGTCTTCGGGTATTGAAATTAATTTTTTCGATCTGGTCCGGTCCAAAACCCTATAAAAACCGGTCTTGGACCGGACCGATTTTTTTGATTAAAAATATGCATGAAACCTTAAATAATAGTTAAAGTTATTGTTAATAAGCTTAGAAAACTTTAATTTTATAAGCTTTTTTGTACTAAACATAAAAAAAAAAACTTTAAAATATAGTTTTTCCTATATTTTTTTTTCGTGTTTTCCATTAATTTATTAAAAATTTAGAATTCTTTATTAAAAAATTCTTAAATTGATCCAAAGCGGTCCGGTTCGGTTTTTGGACTGATTCTTTCGGTCCGGTCCTACTTAATCGATCTGGTGCTCTGTTCTTAAAATTCTAATTTTCGGTCTTCTGTCTAATCCGGTCCGGTCTTGGACCGATAAATAGCCTTACATACATCAATGACTATCAATTACACACAATATTTCAACAAAAATAGGAATAAAGTGTAGTTTCCTTAACTTGTAAAAAGAAAAAAAGGGCTTGATTAAGGTATAAAACATGAATTCCAAAGAACAAAACATGAAGAACGATGGTCTAATATTGTTGCCGGTGGTCGTACCTCAACAACGTCGGAGATTGTCGCTGGTGCACGTAGTCCGGTGGCTGCCGCGATGGACGGAGCTTCAGTGAGGGTGACGGCTTGTTTTTGGTTGGATTTTACTTTCTGTTTTGGTTGGTTTCCTAACATACTTTCAAATTGTAATTTTATCGGGTTTACAGAATATGCTTACACGATGCGGGTGACACTGGTGGGAAATGTTTACAGCTTTGGGGTGATTATGCTAGAGCTGCTAACAGGAAAGCAGGCAGTTATTGAGGGGACATAATTGGCTAAGTGGGTTCTTAGAAATTCTACGCAGCCACAAAAATGGGATCGGATTCTTGACTTAGAGTCAGTCGGACATCACTATCAGTCAAAAGCCAGATGCTAGCAGTACTCAAAATTGCTCTGGCTTGCATTAATGCCTCATCAGAGGCAAGGCTAAAGATGAAGAGTGTGTTAAGGATGCTGTTGAATGCAAGATGACCACAGCCTAGAAGAACTCAAGTTAATAACTACATAATGTTGATTTGAATTAGCCAGGATAACGGAGGGAGTATTAGCTTAATCTAATGCGATGGATAACTCATAGTCGTTGCACTAGCAAATTCTAACACAATGATTGCTCCCTAATGCAACACCCCTATTCATAACCATTGCATTAGACTTCATAACCGTTGTGTTAGGATGGTCCAATGTGACGGCAAATTAGAAATATGAAAATATAAATGGGCTCTTAGAATTTCCCTCCTAAAGTTTCCCCAGTTTTAAAACCCTTTACTTTTTTTTAGAATTTCCCTCTTTAAAGTTTCCCCTATTTTAAAACCCCAATTTTAAGACCCTTAAACTTTTTTCAGAATTTAAGTTCAAAGAGAAATTAATAATGGCGATGAAATACTTTGTACAAGTAGGCAATATTGATTAAGATACTAGTTAAATAATGTAATGAGAAAATGAGATAGAAATGAAAAATCTAGTGAAATAATGTAATAAGATATTACTTATGTCCACAACTAACTCATTTTAAATTTAAAGTGAAAATTAATTGATAATGAAATTTTTTTGTATAAAGTAGACAAGAATGATAATAATTGAACAAATGAAACAATATTGTCTACTTCGTACAATCAATATTGTCTACTTCGTAAAATAGTATTATCATCTAATCTAATTAACTTCCCTCAAATTTAAAATGTGATATGGACATAGTACTAACTTCTCTCGAGTATAGGTAACTGGAGTCGGGTTTAGACTAAGAAAACTGGGTGCAAGTAATGCCCAACCACAATCTTGATAATTACAAAGAAAACTGGATTTAGGTAATGTCCATCTACGATCTTGGTAATAACCAATAAAACTAGGTTTAGATAATATCAAAACCACATTCATGGTAATTATCAAGAACTCGAGAAGATTGAGTTTTTTTAGCAACATTATACATAGCTTTAAAAAAAAAGGCTAGATAAAGTCACAAGTTCAAGCCCAAAGTCAATAAATAGAGCCAATGTTTGAGTAACCCAAACCTTAAATAGGAGCCAAACTATTCATATTATTAAAATAGAGGCTAAGTTTCTGTTTTTATAACCTCACACTCTTTATACTCTCTATTTTCTTTCAATGAGGGATTTTAGCAAATCTTTTTGCTCAACAAAATTACTCTATATTAATAGTTCTTTCTTCCTCCTTTTTTCATTACATTGTTTCATTTGTTCAATTTTTAGTCGTTCTTGTCTACCTTATACAAAACTATTTCATCATCATTTAATTAATTTCACTTTAAATTTAAAATGTGTTAGTTGTGGACATAAGTGTTAGCTTCTCTCTATAAAGGCACCACATTTATTTTTAACTATACTTTTTTTTTTAAACTTCACAATTAATCAAAATAGTTATGGAGATGCTCACAATAACTTTGCTCGACAAGTTCTTGTTAATAGCAGTAGACAGCGGTTATTAACCGCGGTAGATGAAAGCGTTGTTATTAATGGGGCATCATTTAACAAGGCTTTTTTCCAACCGTTCCGTTATTAAATGTACATTTTTTATATTAGATAATTTTATTTATGATTAATTATATTTTTAGCACGCAAAGATACATATATAGTTTCATAGCCTATGTAGGATTCGAACCTACATCAATGTGCAATCGCACCTCTACCAATTGAGGTAAGAGGCTTTACAATTAGAAATAAAGCTATATATTCAATAAATAAATATAAAAGAACATTATTTCAATTAAAAAGATATGGAAAATAAATCGTACAGATTATACACATTAATTTCCTAGCATTAAAAGTATATAAGACATTATTTATTAAACAAAGATAACACGACTTTGTTTATAACACTAGGCTATCAAATATATACTACATAGTACTAACACCGTACCTACTTGTTTGTTACCCACATAATACTTCAACAAAAATAAAACTTAAATAATTTTGTTTTGATATGAGTTGAATAAAATTTGTAACTCTTCTTACCCTGTAAACTGTTTGAAAAGGTATTCCGGCATTCGGCCATTGAGTTGCTCCAATGACTGTAACATAAAATTAAGATAAATTGAATAAAGATAATATTTAAGGTTCATACTAATATTGAAATAATTTACAACATTAAAAAAAGGGAATATTATCTTATGCTTTCTTAAGTGGCACATTATACACCACAATAATAAAAATATGAGCCCTCTAATTTTAAATTTACCAAAAATCATTTTTATGATTTTAGAAAATATTGAAAATCTATTTTTAAATAGAAAATAATTATTTTAGAAAACCAAACAAAATAATAGAGATAATTTTCTTACAAACAAAAGAAAAGAAATCGTCATTCCCCACCTCCAACGTCGGTAACCACCAAGAAAAACTTCTCCATCCACCGCCGACGACAGATATCTTTCCCCGGGCAATTGGAGTCGGGTTTAAACTAAGAAAATGGGTTTAGGTAATGTCCATCCACAATTGTGGTAATTATTAAGAAAACTAGATTTGGGTAATGTCAAACCGTATTCTTGGTAATTACCAAGAAAACAAGATTTTTTTGTAACTTGATATATAGCTAAAATAAAAAAGCTATATAATGTCATAAAGGTTAAAGCCCAAACAAACTTGGACCCAATCTTTGAACAACTCAATCCTTAAATAAAAGCTAAATAATTCATACTATTGAAATAGAGGCTAAGTTTCTCTTTTTTAATAACCTTTCCATGTCAATACTTTCTATTTTCTTTCAATGTGGGACTTTTTGCTCAACACAATATTACTCTCCACTCTCCCCATTACAATGCATCATTTGTTCAATTTTCATCAATATTGCCTACTTTACTTTGTACAATAATATTTCATTAATTTTCCTTTACATTTCTCTAAAGAGGTACCAAATTATTTTGTAACTATGATATTTTATTTTAATAATTATCAAGCTACTCACGACTTATCGAGCCGAATTATAGCTTGCTCCACTTGAGTCGAGTTTTTACGGAGCATTGACCGAGTTGTTCTCGAATTATACAACTCGATTAAAACCCCTACTAATAATATTAGTTGTTGTAAAAAGATATTAAGTATGGTAATCATATCTATTAAACATATCTTTATTTTGGAACCGATCATATACAACCTACACTTCAGGTGTAGTGATTCAAGTACAATTGGCAAGATTTTATCTCAATGTATACACATAATTAATATGACCAAAATGTATCTTCAACGCTATGCAACATGATTCATAACTGAATACAAATCAGATCACAAATGTGCAACATATCTTGATAATATATATACAAAAGTTGGCATATATATAACTTTTCAAACTACCATTATAGGGATAATATATATTTTTATTTATTTATTTATTTCGATTTTCCCAACTTTTGCTATTTCTTCTCCCCCTAAGTTAGTAATATATCTCTTTTATGGGGGCGTCTAATTCTATACCAACTTAGTATATAAATTTGCATTTAAATTCATTTCATTGGGAGGATCACAATCAAAGTTAATCTCTTCTGGAGAACAATGTCGATGAAGAATCATTTATTCATTAACTTTATATTTCATGCGTATTTATTATTAAATTTTCAATAATATTTTCTCTTCTGGAGATCAATGTCAATGGGGAGACATATGTTGTGCAGTTGTACGTTTTTCTTTTTTTCTCCAATTTAATATGTGCTGATATATGATAGCGCTAATCAAAAGAATTGTTATACAAGCATAAATTACTTGCTCGTAATTCTAGTAGGTGATGATCTTCTGGATTGTTAAAGACTTAAATAGTGTATTTGGTGAGCTTCTGATCACTTGATAGTTGACAATAATATATAAGTTATTTTGGTGAACTTCTGGTCAGTCATTACTCCTTTATCAGCCATTACTCTTTTATATAAAAAAAAAACATAAAACATATTAAATCTTGAAATTTTCATCAATATAAATTATTATAAATCACAATCCAAATACAACTCAATCTCAATATTACGTCTTGCCATTCAATTCATTTTATATATTTAACATTGAGAAAGCGTCAGCACATTATCAAATGAAACTTTAGGTTTCTATAACGGGTAATTATTAAACCCGGATGGCCTAATTTAATTATCACATCCAATCACTTCTCTAAATTTGAACTCTGGTCAATTTTCAACACTAGTGATCACTTTATTAAACTTACTATATGCATGGCCATGAATGTGATGTGATTTTAGAACACCAACATGTGTTTCTTTATACAATTGGCAAGACAATCAATTAATATTTTATCCAATAATTACTCAATATTTTATCCAATAATTACTCATACTCTACTGGAGTTTAAACTATAAACTTGATATATGTTAATCTTGTTGGATATTTCATACTCTTCTGGAGTTTTTTATATAGTCATGAAACATATGAACTTTATTAAAAGTGATTTATTCTAGAAATATAATGATATTTACCACTTCCTCGAATTTGTCATTGTCAATAGTGACTCCTTTCCTTTTCAAAGATACTTAATTATCTTTAGAACCTATTGATTTATCACGCTTCAGACATGGCATAGGTTCATCAATAATTGATGTTGTACTCTTAGGACATCAATTTTAAATTAGAGCATTTACAACTAGTATATGATAAATATCATTTGTTTATATCCATCTTTGGGATGGTATCATTTCAAAATATTTAATAAACATGTGGTCACTTCAATTAAATAAATCGTTGATATTTAAGTTATTGTATGTATCAAACTGACTATCAATATATTTTATTATTTATATGCAAGGGTTACATACAATCTCCCCCTAATCCTTGCATATGGGGGTATGGAATGAATCAATCCGACAACCTTTAAAATCCTTACAACTTTTAAGCCATAAATTCTTTTGCCAATTCTTTTGGCAATGTCATGTATCAAGTAACGTGTTCCTTTTAGCAAAAACATGCTTATATAAAATTATACTTATAGAACACTTATCATGTTCCTCATGCCCAATTAAATTCATCTTAACAAAACCTCTTATATTTATGGGCATAATAAAACGTTGATTATGTATAGTTTCTCACAATGTCATGTTTAATTACTTGAACTCATAACACACTTTTTGCTATATATTTAATTAATTAAGGAACTTCAAGTCCATATGTACGAGAATATATACCAATCCATCTACATTTTTCAGAAAGAGAAGGTAAAAATAAGACATGACATAATCAGTTCGAGCTTTAATCAACACATACCTTATTCAATCCACTCAACTATACTAGCCAAATTTAAATTAATCTTTGGAAACATAAGTAAACATGACATTGTATTTATATAATCACGTTAGTATGTAGTGGATATATAAGCAATATGCTTTAGCTTTGTAGATCATGCACATTTCTTTATATTATCCTTAAGAGTTTTGAGCCATTTATATGTTCAAGCTAGTGTGAATACTCTTTACAAATATAAGGAACTTTAGGTCTGCACATCGTATTCAATTTACATTTATTCCAATAATCAAACTTCAAGTAGGTACATAATACTATAATTGAATGAGAAGTAAAAATATGAAAACCTACTACTTCAAGCTTTAATAAAAACATACCTGAATCGATTGAATCAACTATACTGTCGGGTCAATTATATCAATATATTGTCCGATAAAGCTTAATTAGAAAATAGAAACAAGCACATAAGCAACCAAAATTAACACGTTCAAGTTAGTGAAAAACCACATGTTTTATATCATACTTGAAATATAAAAACATAATTCAATACATAAATTATAAATAGTTTCACATGTACCTTAGGCTTACTTCGTACAATTTACAAACATTCAAGGCATTAGACATAGGATTTCACAAATAAATTATATGGGTAAATAATTGCTAAATCAAACCATTCATATTTGCTACCAAGCATAGAAAAATAACCAAACTCATTTACGGATAGGAAAAGTAATACCAAAATCTAGCAAATATATGTAATACAATTTCATGAAAACCATACGTTCATAAAATTAACCCAATAATAATTCTAAATACCCTTTTAGATTCAAACTAAACAAAATTCATAGTCAAAACAAAACTACTAATTAGTTATTCTACATCGAATTCAACTATTCCCAAATTGCTCATTGAACTCCAGGAATAATAAAAATACGAAAATTTGGGAAACAATATAAACATATTATATAAAGGTTTAAAATTAACAATAACAGGATAGTTGAGAATGAACTTTCCTGATATCAAAACCTTTTCCACTATAAAAACCAGCCTTATCGTCAACTTCATGTTATCAACGTCATTTGCTAGCCTGTAACTCATGAAAACGTTAATGAAAAGAAAATAAAGTATAGCCCTTGATTAAGGCTAATCTATTATATTATGGATAGATGAGAAAGATGATTCAAGATAAACAAACCAATGCAATCGAAAAATAATAAAAGAATAAAATTTATTAGAAGATCAAAACCCATATACTTTAGTGAATGGGAATGATATGACATTCTTGAAACGTGTGATTTCATTATTAGAAGATCAAAACCCATGATCAAGATTAATCTCCTTCTAATTTCTTCCCAAGATGCGACACAACAAGATAATAATGAGTATAATTTAGCACATTCAATATACAACGAATTAATCATTAACTTAAGAAATCAACAATAAAATTTACGTACATATTGATTAGAGCTTTGGTGCTGATAACGTGTTATAAAATAGGGAGAAATATAAGAGAGATTGATAGAGAATATATCTATTCATATTATTCCATATGATAGGGGTATATTTATACATAGAATATTATAAGTAGGGTTTACTTAGATAAGAATAAACCCTAGATCTAGAATATTCTGGAAAATACAAAGAGGATAATGGATATCCACACAATATTTTCATAACAAGATATCCATTATGAGTAATCTTAATTTATAATGAAAGCAATTATATTACGGTCAAAGAGACCAGTTGTCAAAAACAACACGTCTCTTAGATAATTCATTTTTTTCATACAAGAATATCTAGTTACTCGTGCATATCCCGTTATTCATTTAAATACATTGTCACAGGTGGATGGTTACATGGAGGGGATGTCTCAGTTTCTCATGGTGAGAAACAAATTAGATTTTCGTAAATAAACCAACAACTTTATTTAATTGTGGAGTTTGTAATAATGAAAAAGTTGTTGATTTATTCACGAAAATGCTCCTATGAGAAACAAATTTCATTTCTCAATATCAAAAACAGGAAATTCCTGTTTCATCGAACACGCAAAGACTAACACAATACTAGAATTAAATAATAACTCAAATTTAAGTTGGCAAAAAATGATAATGATCCACTTATTACTTTTATATTTGTTGTTGAGCTTAATTACGTACCTCTAAATCAAAATATCTGGATCCGCTACTGAACACAGGACAAAAAAGAAAAGGCCAAAAAACAAGCTAAGGCATCATGTATATTGTATATGGCTGCATTTTGGTAAACAAACCCTTTCCATTAACGCCTTACCAAGATCAAGTATCCTAAACTCAAGACGAAGCAAGACAATAGAATTGATTTCAAAGTAGTCTGCAGAGGAATACATGCTTTGTCCTTCCTTAACAGCATGCCTTCAATCACAGGAAGACTGATGATCAACATATAAAATGAGAAGAATGCTTGAGCAAACAATGTATCCCAACTCTGACTGACTATCGCTCTTGCAACTCCAACAACAAAGGAAGAAAGATTCAAGATAACTGCTGTAACAATTGGAACAAGAAACATGTTGGATGTTCTGAAGTCATACTTCCCATTTAGGTACCATGTACTTGTATCATCATCTCTGGCTTTATTGGTAGGCATAAAGCTTGTCTCGCGAATCCCCAACTTTCCCATAACACAGTCAAGAGTACCATAAACATAGGATGTAAGACCCTTTATTACCACAATCCTTTGCTCGTTCAACCATGCATTTACTGAGCCTCCACAAAAAAAAGCCTCACATAGATGCTTTAACTGTGATGATATAAACACAAAGGCAAATGGTATGAAGAATGGGTCTGAGACCTGCATGTATCAGTATAATGGAGCACGCACAATATCAAACACAAAAAAATGTATGTGAACTCGTAAATTGTTTCATTACAATACAGTATTGAATAACTGGAGAAGTCTCACTCTATTATAATCATGTACGTACCTTAGGGTACAAAGGTATGCCATAGAAGAAACAAAGTGGTTGAATGATAGCAAAACACGAAATGGGTAGGAAATCAAGAGGGAATAAGGCAGCCCAAGAATAAATCAACCTCTGAAGGATTGGCATTCCGGGTGAAGTGTGAAACAAAGGGCAATACTTGGATAGACCAAGTTGAAGAAGGCCTGCACTCCATCTACAATATTGAATAAATGCTTCATTGAGATTCATAGTGGCAGAACCTAAGAACTGTGGCCTTGGTGGATTTAAGTAAACTGACTTCCACCCTTGGCTGTGCAATATAAATCCCGTCATCACATCTTCCACCACTGTGTCATATCGAAAACCAACCTGCACATACACGTAACAACCCAGCCTCCGCTGAGATTAATTAGTTGGTAAAAATTATACAAGATCAGACGGTGAAATACTTGCCTTTTTACCCCACTGTGTGTCCTCTTCGTAGACACAAGTAGCTAAGAATTCAGCCTCTTGTAGATAATCAGAGGAAAATTTACTTGGATAATTAGGCTCGTTAATTTGGGTTAGAGATTTGATGAGTAGATTTGAAGAACCAAAAGTATGTCTGAGCTCATCTATGTTATCATTACCTGCATAAATTAATTAGAGCATGTTAGTTAAGAATATTGCATGAGCTAGCTTAATTGATTAAGCTCCATTAAAATATTACAAAAAAAAAAGAAGAGAAGTTAAAAGCAGACACACCAGCTGCAGAGATATTAAAGCCATACAAGGCCTTCCTGTTGATGTAAAAATTAGTACCAGAAAGTATTGGTCCTTGAATTCCATCAGTCCCTGGATAGATTATCTGAACCATTGCACGCGTATTTAGCTTAATCAACTTCACAACAAACACTCTAATGATCGATATTAACTTAACGAGTACATAGATAATTAGATATATGTATACTTACAGGCCATGATGCTCTCATCTGACTATCATAAACGTCCTGTTCATTAATGTTGTGAAATTTCTGAGGGTATTGAACCCAAGCTATTGAACGGTTTATCTCAGGATCAACATAAAAACACATAGCTTGACGAGCAGAATTTGAATCGTTGCAGTACATGTCACAGTCTAGGACTAGTATGTAAGGAGCATTGCTCAATATGCTGGAAACCCTTTGCTGCAACCCCGACCCAAACAAAAAGAAAAATTTCCAATTAGATTGCTAAACGCCCTATATATACCCTTGTGGAACTTTATTTATGGTCTAAGATGTGTGGTAAGTAACTAAGTATATATATTCTTGGAAGTAATGTAATTTTACCAGAACATTTAGTGCTCCGGCTTTAAAGTGATGGTGATGAGAATGCCGTTTTTCGCGAGCTACATAAACAAGGAAGGGCATTTTGATGTTTTCTGGGTTTGTTGTAGCAGCATTATCATCATCTCTTACAAAACTCTCATTTATCACCTGTCACACCAATACAACATATATATAAATACAACGAATTCAACATCGAAACAGGAAAAAAAAAAAATTACAATTTTACATGTATCATATAACATGGCCTGATATTCCAACAGATACTGACATTATTAACGTATCATATGATCTTCCACAATATTGTACAGAGTAACTTTTGAAAAAGCTAAAATGGGCGAAGTTAGGACATGAACTTTAGCCCACAATAATAATCATATACAGTATTTCCGATTTCAAACAAATGAGAATGCATATAAGATAAATGTCAACTGCAGAATAACAAAGAAAAAAATAATTAACACATCAACAATGAATATGACACTAGCTGTACCGTTGCAATTTATACTCATGTAGTCATGTAATGGTACTAATAACGGTAACTGGAACAAAAGAACTTCAAATAAGAAGAACTGAAGAAGATAAGACAATGAAAATAACCTGAATAATTGGTGAATGATCTTGAGCACTTCTCTTATTAGCTTTGCTGTCATATTTATCGCCTCGTCTTTCCTTCCAGCTGCGCACTCGATCCTCGTATTCCTCATATTTCTCCTGCAAGTACAGTCACACATTCAGGTTTTTAGTAAGAACTGAACAAAATAAAATACTTGAAAAGCAGGGGAAATTAAGAAGTAACCGTAAGTAGCTTATAATCTTGAATGAAATGAGTGTTGTGAGATTGTTGTTGTAAATGTTGTTGAAAGAAAGCTTTAGGAGAAATTGGTAGAATATTATGTCTCTTACAAAACGGTAACCACCAAGTAGCAAAGACCCAAGCATGTTTCATAGCATCCAAAGTGACAGCAGCAGCACCATCATCAGATACATAAACACTTAATTTATCAGCAGGATAATCTAATGACATAGCAGATATAACTGTATTCATAACATCAAGTGTAGGCTCTTTGTTAGGATCAACAGTGCATACAAAAACGTCGATTTTGGGCAGCTGCTCATCCACAGGCAGATTCTCGGGGTAGGCGGTCCGAGTCAGAGGACGCCAGTAGTAGGATTGCTTGAGGATCCATGAGAAAAAGAAAATTACCTCACCAACAAATACCATAAGCCATGGGAGCAAAGGCACCACATTATATATATCACCGGTATTATTATTTGTATGATCATAAAAATAAGCAGCTCTTAAGTAGAAAATTGGTGCAGTAGATAGAATATGTAATAAGGTATAACTTCTGTTAAGGAATGCCCTTACTTTGTGAACATGCCAGCCATGAAGTTTAGACTTTTCCATTTTATTTTTTTTCACTTGAGGAAATTAAAGTGAGTTCTAAGAGAATGATAAAATATAGTATATGAAGAGGTTGTGTCTTAACTAGTAGAGCCGTCTATAACACTCAATCACTCTAATAATAATTATATTTATAAAAAGATGAATGAAAACAGTAGAGAATGAAGGTGCTTAGGATGCCATGAATTGCATGAAAACAAATATTATAATCTTAATTATTGACACTCTTATGTATAATAGCATTCATAAAAAATTAAAAAGAGATAGAATAAGACAGATATAGTGATAAAGAAGTTGGCTAATTGAGTTTTACATCAAATAAAATATATAGAGAGGTTGTGAGTTCGGTAAAGGCGGTCTAACCAGTGTAGAGCCGTCTAAATTTACAACACACTAGCAGTCTAGCAGTAGAAGAGGTGCTGAGAATTACATGAAGACTTGTTTTATAATCTTAATTAAATTCTTAATCATTGATGTAAAAAGATATGGTCTAAAAAGGTTGACACTTTAGGTAGAATAGTAATCATAACAAAAACATTAAAATAGAATAAAACAGAGTATGAGACAAAAGAAAGACTGGCTTAAGTAGAGGAGGAACTATTCATCATTGATTACGTAATAAAACTAAACTCCATTGTAGTTGTTGTCTTTGAAGTTGAGATATTTACGACGCGAGGAATTAGAAAATAAGCAGTGACATACAAATCCATGCCTCTGAATTTTCAGTTATATGTCCAAGTTTGTATTGTACTTGGATAACTACTGTGATAATGTGATTGATACTTACATACATACTCCATTCCACTCATAATTCAGCCAGCCAGGCAACCTATTTATTTATTTTTATTTTTTTACAACTGAGGGTTTGTTCTCTTCGGCTTAATTTTACTTCAGCTCCAATCAGTTCACTTCAGTTCCTAATTTCCTCTTCTCATAACAATTCAGTTCAGCTCTAATCAGTTCAGTTCACTTCAGTAAATTAGAAGAAACCCTAAATCACTGAATGAGCCTTAACAACTGTTAGGCCCGTATCAATATACGACCCAGTACATTTAGGGCACCATTCCATGACCAAGAAGTACAACAAATCAGATAAAGCGACTTGATTAAAAGAAACAAGGAAAACGAAATCAAGAATATCAATCAAGAGGATACTTGCCAAAAATACACCTACAAAACAAGGAAGAGAATAAATTAAAGACACCTCCTACACCTTAATTATATATTCAATATCTATGTAACCCTAGGAGTTCCTAGGTATAAATAGGAAAAGTCAGACATTATAACACTCATGTACGCTCATTGATATTCTAATATAAACTAGTTATTCTACTTTTATCTACGGATCCGCCTTCCTGTTGAACAAGGAAGCCTATCCTTACTCAGTATTGTACCTCTAAACTTGTCTCTTTGTTCTTATTGAATATATGTTGCTTGTTCATTAGTTATTTATTGCCTTGTTATCGTTCTAAATTGCTTTATAAATTATTGGTGGAGTGATTGTTTTTACCCCTCAAACCCTAGCAAATTCTTAGATGTCCTAGCTGAGATTTGCCTAAACAATTTGGCGCCCACCGTGGGGCTGATAACCAATTAACCTACCAATTCACCAAAAACCGAGACAATCACCATGACTGGACATCCAGTACCCTTTACCATTGCCGAAATCAATGAAGGAATGAACGCATTCCGTCAAACCTTAGACCAGCAGAAAAGCCAAATCGAAACATTGCTGGGCCAAAAGGTTCAAACCGAAGCCAAACTCACTAGCTTAACCAAGCAGAATGAAGCCCTCCACAGCCAAATACTATCAGTTGCATCTAAAACCGTTAACACTAGGGAAAAAAGGATCTAACAACAAGGAAATTCCCCTAGAACTAGATTCTCTGGATGCAGGAACTCTCAAGAAGGACAGACAAGATGGAACTCAGCAGGGAAAAATAGAGAAGGTGGTTAAGGAGTACCTCAAGGCATTTGAAGCCAAGATCTCCAAAATCCCTAGAGTGCCAAAGCCCATGGAAGAAGAAGCAACGGATGGCTATATAGAGTCTCCTTTCTCAAAAGAGATCACCATGGTAGAAGTGCCAAAAAGGTTCAGCACGCCCAACATGGCCATGTACGACGGAACAACAGACCCTGATGAGCATGTGTCCCTTTATAAGCAAAAGATTTAGAGAGATTAGAGAAGCCATCACGTGCAAAGGCTTTGGAGCCACGTTATTAGGTCCAGCCCTAACTTGGGTCATTAATTTAGATAATGGGACAATTCGATCTTTTGCAGGAATGGTGAATCTATTCAAGATTCAATTTGCTAGTAGCAGAAAAATCAAGAAGCAATCCTCAAATCTGTACCGTGTTGTGCAAAGACACGGAGAATCCTTGAGGGACTATCTTAACAGGTTCAACAGGGAGAAGAATGGGATACACAAATGCGATGCTCCTACAACAATCAAAGCTTTCAGAAGAGGGTTGCTAGACCATAGTGAGCTCTACAAAGAGTTGACCAAATATCCCTGTACGACCTTCGAGGATGTGCAAGCCAAAGCTATGGCTCAAGTCAAGTTTGAAGAAGATGTCTATGTAAGAAAGACCCCAGAGCCACATCGCCATTCAAGAAGGAACAACAAATTTCCTTCTAGAGACCATCGATTCAAACCGTATCAGCGTTCTCGCTTTAATGAAGGATCAGTCAATGCTCTCGAAGAAGAATTCTCAAATTGGAGGGAAGATCCTGAACTCCCACCTAAATTGCATGAATATTGTTTCAATGTTAACCCTGCAGGAGTAATCAGGACCCTAAACAAGATGGGAGACACCGTACAGTGGCCCAGAAAAAGTGAGAGGTCTGGAGAGAAAAAAGATCCATCAAGATGGTGCGATTTCCATTCAGATATTGGCCATACAACCGATGAATGTGTTGCGCTAAGGAAGGAGGTTGCTTACTTGTTGAAGAAAGGATATCTTAAAGAACTCCTATCAGACAGATCCAAAGCCCTAGGAAGGGAAAAAGAGTCCAGACAAGGTGGCCCCCCACCTCCTCCTCCCATTGTCAAAACCATCTGCTTCATATCAGGAGGTTCAGAAGTATGCGACCTAACATACTCAGCGGAAGTGGCATGCGAAAGAAAGCAACAAGGATCGGTCCGATAGAAGGGAAAGGTCAAAAATGGAAATACCTATCATGTTCGAAGAGAGCGATGCAGTGAAAGGCCATCATGACGGTCTGGTAATTTCGCTCCCAGTTGGAAACTATATGATCAAGTGAATCCTTGTTGACAATGGAAGCTCTGCAAACATCATCATGCTTGATACCCTGAAGCACATGAACATCGATGAAAAGAACATCATCAACAAGTCAACAATTCTAGTAGGATTCAGTGGGGAAACCAAGAAGACAAGTGGGGAGATCACATTAGCCACCTATGCAAAAGGTGTCAATTTACAAGTCAAGTTCCTAGTGATCGACACCTTATCATCGTACAATATGATTCTAGGCAGATCATGGATACATGAGATGAGAGCCATCCCCTCCACATATCATCAAGTCATTAAATTCCCTACCAGATGGGGCATTCAAGAAATCAAAGGGGACCCTAAGGAAGCTAAAGAATGTTACAAGATCTCCCTAAAAGCAACCTCTGCAGAGAAGGGTTCAGCATAGCAATCAGAGGGTCAGCTGGGCCAAGAGAAACTGAGTATAGCAGAAGAACAAGAAGCCACATAAGTCTAGCTGAACCCCAATCACCCAGACCAGAAAGTCAGAATAGGGTCAGAATTAAATTCAGATCTTCGTCAGCAAATTTATGATTTCTTAGAGGAAGAAAAAGATGCATTCGCTTGGACTCATGAAGACATGAAGGGCATTCCCCCAGACGTGATCACCCACAAACTGAACGTAGACCCAATGCATACGCCAGTAAAGCAGAAAAGAAGAAAATTTGCACCGGAAAGGAACAAGGTCATCAATGAGGAAATCCAAAACTTGCTTAAGACAGGAAAATTTAGAGAAGTAAAGTACCCAGAATGGCTTGCTAACGTAGTGGTTGTCAAAAAGAAGAACGGAAAATGGCGAATCTGTATCGACTTTACAGACATCAACAAGGTCTGCCCAAAGGATTCGTTCCCATTACCTCACATTGATGCCATGGTAGATGAAACAGCAGGGCACGAGCTGCTATTCTTCATGGACGCATACAGTGGGTACAATCAAATCCTAATGCACAAAGATGACCATGAAAAAACCGCTTTCATCACTAGTCAGGGAATCTAATGCTACAAGGTAATGCCTTTTGGATTGAAGAACGCGGGAGCGACATACCAGAGGTTGGTGAACAAGATGTTTGGGGAACAGATCAGAAACACAATGGAGGTCTACATAGACAACATGGTAGTTAAATTCAAGAAGGCAACCGATCATGTCAAGGACCTTAGAGAAGCCTTCGTTATCTTGAAGCAATACGGCATGAAGTTAAATCCTACAAAGTGCACATTCGGAGTTCAGTCAGGAAAGTTCCTAGGATACATGGTAACGCAAAGAGGAATTGAAGCCAGCCCGGACCAAGTCAAAGCCATCCTGGATCTGGAACGACCAAAGTCAAAGAAGGAGGCAAAGCTTAACAGGGAAGATTGCAACACTGAACAGGTTCATCTCGAAATCTTCAAACAAGAACAGAGCCTTTTACGAAGTCCTGAAGAAGAATAAGGAATTCAAATGGGAACAAGAACACGACAAAGCATTTCAAAAGTTAAAAGAATACTTGGCCAACCCGTTGATACTTTCCAAACCTAAAGAAGGGGAGCCATTCCAATTGTACCTCACAGTATCAGAAGGGACGATCAGCGCAGTCCTCACCAGGGAAGAAGACAAAGAGCAATTCCCAATCTATTACGTAAGCAAAACCCTACTCAGTGCGGAAACGAGGTACGTATCCTTAGAAAAAATCATTTTAGCTTTAGTTACTGCTTCAATAAAGCTACGCTCATACTTAGAAAGCCAGTCTATACGATACGGACCAACTACCCCATCAAGGCCATCATGAGAAAGCCAGAAATGTCGGGAAGGATGGAGAAATGGGCCCTAGATCTAAGCAGGTACGATATACAATATGAGCCCAGAACCGCAATCAAGTCACAAGCTTTAGCAGACTTTGTAGCAGATTTCAGCCCAGCCCTTGAGGAAGAAGCACATAAAGAAGTATTGGCTTTACAGGAACCAAAGGCTGCACAGAAATGGACACTCCACACAAATGGTGCAGCAAACATACGCGGCGTAAGCCTAGGATTGGTACTGACATCACCATAGGGAGACAGAATAGCACGAGCGATAAGATGTAACTTCAAAACAGCCAACAATGAGGCCGAGTACGAAGCACTAATCACAGGGTTAACCGTCGCAAGAGATATGAAGATACAACATCTAGAGGTAATCTTAGATTCCTTACTCATGGTAAATCAAATCAATGGGGAATACGCAGCAAAGGACGCCAGGATGATAGCCTACCTAGAAGTCACAAGAAGACTTATTAAGGAATTTAAGGAATTCAAGATAGACCAAGTACCCGGGAACTTAAACACTGAAGTAGACGCCCTGGCAAACTTGGGGTCAAATATTAACCCTGAAGAATTTGGAGCAATCTCCCTAGTACACGTACTCTCTCCAGCTATAGAAAAGGAAGCAACGATGAATGTCCACGAAATCCAAACAGACCCTACAAGGGAGGAAGAAAGCAGTTGGACGAAACCTCTCAAAGATTATCTCCTGGACAAAACAGTACCAGCAGGGAAAGTAGCAGCCCAAGCACTTACCCTAAAGGCCTCAGAGTATTACTTAATCAGCAACTTACTCTTCAAAAAGTCTGTAGCAGGTCCCTTCTTACGATGCTTAGAAAATGAAGAAGCGCAGTAGGTCCTACAGTCCCTACACAGTGGTGAATGCGGAAACCATTCAGGAGGAAGAAACCTGGCCAACAGGGCACTCAGGATGGGATACTACTGGCATAGCATGAGAAAGGACGCCGCAGAATTTGCCAAGAAATGCCTAGCGTGCCAGAAACACGCACCTTTAACACATAAGCCATCTGAAGAGTTGCACCCAGCATTGACACCTTGGCCATTCATGAAGTGGGGAATGGACATAGTAAAATTACCTCCATCGCCAGGACAAAGGATGTACTTCTTAGCAATGACGGATTACTTCTCAAAATGGATCGAAGCAAAAGAATACAAGGAAATCAAGGATAAGCACGTCATCTCATTTATCAAAAGGAACATCCTAAGCAGATTCGGAGTACCAGCAGAGATCATTACAGACAACGGGTCCCAGTTCATCAGCAACAAAACCACGAAGTTCTGTAAAGAATTGAACATTTCCCTCATCACGTCTACACCAAGGTACCCGCAAGAAAACGGACAAGCAGAGTCCAACAATAAGGTCCTAATAAGCAACATGAAGAAAAGGTCAGAAGGAGCAAAAGAGAAATAGGTTGATGAACTACCTAACATATTGTGGGCATACAAAACAACCCCAAAGGGCGCAACGGGTCACACCCCCTTTTCATTAGTGTACGGATGCGAAGCAGTAATCCCAACAGAAGTAGAAGTCCCCACAGCAAGGTACGGGTTGATGACAGAAGAAAAGAACCAAGCTGAACTAATGCACAACCTAGACACGGTAGAGGAACTAAGGGAAGACGCAAGAATGAGGATGGCAGCCTACCAGCAAGAAGTAGCAAGGTCCTTCAACAAGAATGTCAGAGCGAAAGTTTTCAAATTAGGAGATTGGGTCCTTAGAAAGGTGTACGAAAATACCAGAGAAGTAAACGCAGGAAAGCTAGCGCCCAACTGGAAAGGACCATACGAAATCATCAAGGTAGTAGGCAACGGAGCCTACAGACTCAAGAGCGCAGAAGGAAAAGAGGTACAAAGAAGTTGGAACGCAGCACATTTAAAACTCTATCGCTTCTGAAGAGCAAAGGTACGTAGTTATCATTTCAATCTCGTTTTCTTTTTACAAAAATACAAAATACAAAAAAACAAGAAAGCAACAAAAAACAAAAAAAAAAAGAAGAAAACAGAAGGAAAAAAAAAACAAAAATCTCCAACAGCCAAAGGCAGCACGACAGGTACTCTTCTTCACCTTAACTTTGTCAATTTAATTTATATTCACTACGAGTACTAACTTTGGCATCGGAGGGTTGTTGGGGAAACCCACGACCACCCCTCACCCAGTTCTGTTTTGCAAGGACAAACAAGCTACGCTACCATACAAAGCACAAGAAAGCGACGACTATCTATCCCTGCAAGGAGCAAAGCACTAGCAATACACACATGTAAGAAGTGTTACGTACGTACTACAACTGTAATATAACTATAATACAACTGTGATGCAATAAGAAATACAAGCACAACATAGCATAAGATGTAAAAATACTTAGTTGCGAAAAGCAACAAAACAAGCAAATCATCCAGCTGCAACAAGGCAGCACAAAAACAAAACAAATTATCCAACTGCACTAGGGCAGTAAAAACAAACATTCTTCAAAGAAACTTAAATATTGTTCACAACTAACAGGTGACACAGCACCATGGAAACTAATTCTCCCAAGTGTTATCAGCAGGGACCTTCTCTTCAACAACAGACTTGGAATCCTCAGGACCATCCTTGACATCCTCGTTCATGGGAGAATCAACCTCTTCATCAGCATAGGCTAGCAGCAAAGTACCAGGAGCAGAAGTCCCTGCAGGGAAAGTTTTCTCAAAGGCAGACTTCTCAGCATCATAGTCTCATGCCCCATGCTTCCCCTGCTGGTAATCCTCCATCATCTCCAAGCGCGCCTTTCCAAAATAATAACTAGCTGCATCAAGAGAGTCGTTTGCAGCCTCCTTCAGAGTACCCTTCAACCCATCCCGATCTGCAAGGCACTGCTTGTACTTGGTCCTTTCAGCCTTCAAAGCATCAGTGCCTGCCTTATACTTATCAACAAGGGCATCACGCTCCTTCTTCATAACATCATAAGCCTGAGTGAACTCTGACACCTTGCTCAACACACCAAGGCACAACTAAAAACTCTGCAGAATATCACAACAAGGTTAAGAAACACAAAGGGGCACCCAAATTGATTGACAAGATCAGATTTTTTTAAGGAGTATACTATACCTGGAAAGACTGCGCGGCAGCCTCTTGAGAAAGGTCAGCGAAAGTCTATGAGGACTGGCGCTCCTTGAAGGCTAGGAAGAGCAAGTTACCCACATGGGGAGCCAGAGAATCATAAGAGAAGTCAACAGCATCAACGTCAGCAGGAATCTCAAGCTTCCTCTTAAGATTGGTACGAGGAGGGGGTGGAGGAGGAGCACTCCTTAGAGGCTTCACATTAGCTGGAGCAGGGACATCCTCTGAACCCTTAGAAGAGGCCCACGATCTAATGCGACCCAAGATAGAGGAAGAACTAAGCAGTTCATGAGACCTCAACTACCGTGAAGTATCTACAAGAAGCATGAATTTGTCAAAAGGGAATACAGCAAAAAGTACAACAAGGTCTATAAGGAACAATAACGGATTTTATAAGAAGCATAAGAAACATAGATACAACAAACCTAACAGTGCATATTGATCAACCCTAAAAGGAAAAGCAAATAGGAGGACGATAAAATTTCCAACAACAA